TGCGGTTGTAAACCCATGCAACAAACCTCGATGCCAACTTTGCCCACATATCTACACCAGCAACACCATATCAGGTATGTCAGGATACAAAAACCTGTAGGAGAACTCTTCAACATCCCTGGCCATACAATAGCAGATGTAAAGGTAGCCATCTTATAGCAAAAAAACTTCAGGACCAGACTCCAAAGAGAAACTGCTGAGCTCCAGTTCATTTGCAAATTTGACACCATCAGATCAGGATTAAACAAAGACTGTGAATGGCTATCCAACTACAGAAGCAGTTTCTCCTCCCTTGGTGTTCACACCTCAACTGCTAGCAGAGCACCTCACCCTCCCTGATTGAACTAACCTCGTTATCTCCATACTGATTTATACATGCCTCTGGAAATTTCCATTACTTGCATCTGAATAAGTGAGGTTCTTACCCACGAAAGCTTATGCTCCCAATACTTCTGTTAGTCTTAAAGGTGCCACAGGACCCTCTGTTGCTATTTCCATTAATGTTGCCATGCAGGGTAGCTACAGTGTAGCTATTATGAAATCCCATGAGGTGTTTTCCTGTTATTCAGTAAATAGCTAAGTAACTGAATACATAGCCATCACAGTGTGTGTACACAGGACTTTCTCATAGCTGGAAGCATGCACTGCTTTTCTGCATGGCAAATTTCCAGGTTATGCAACTGAACAAAACAAAGAAAATGTGCTGTGTCAGTGTTGTTGTTGGGGCTAACAGGAGATGAGATGATATCCAGCAACTATATCTTTGATGTAGAGAGGAAAATTGAGTCAACAAAGCCAGGATTTTGAGTTGGACATATGAGGCCCTGTCAAAAACAATGGCTATAAATAGGCACTCTAATACCAAGGTGATGAGAATAGTATAGATACATGCATAGATAGGTAGAAAGGTAAAAACAATGGGGAGTCCGGTGGCACCTTAAAGACTAACAGATTTATTTGGGCATAAGCTTTCGTGGGTAAAAAACCCACTTATTCAGATGCATGGAGTGAAAATTACAGATACAGGCATAGATATACTGGCATGTGAAGAGAAGGGAGTTATCTTTCAAGTGGAGAACCAGTGCTGACAAGGTCAATTCAGTCAGGGTGGATGTGGTCCACTTCCAATAATTGATGAGGAGGTGACAATACAAAGAGAGAGAAAATTGTTTTTGTAGTGAGCCAGCCACTCCCAGTCCCTATTCAAGCCCAAATTAATAGGGTTAAGTTTGCAAATGAATTGTAGCTCTGCAGTTTCGATTTGAAGTCTGTTTTTGAAGTTTTTTTGTTGAAGGATGGCTACTTTTAAATCTGTTATTGAATGTTCAGGGAGATTGAAGTGTTCTCCTACTGGCCTTTGTATGTTACCATTCCTGATGTCTGATTTGTGTCCATTTATTCTTTTACGTAGAGACTGTCTGGTTTGGCCAATGTACATGGCAGAAGAGCATTGCTGGCACATGATGGCATATATCACATTAGTAGATGTGCAGGTGAATGAGCCCCGATGGTGTTGCTGATGTGGTTGGGTCCTCTGATGGTGTCACTAGAGTAGATATGGGGACAGAGTAGGCAAGGGGGTTTGTTATAGGGATTGGTTCCTGGGTTAGTGTTTCTGTGGTGTGGTGTGTAGTGGCTGGTGAGTATTTGCTTCAGGTTGGGGGGCTGTCTGTAAGTGAGGACTGGCCTGTCTCCCAAGGTCTATGAGAGTGAGGGATTGTTTTCCAGGATAGGTTGTAGATCGTTGATGATGTGCTGGAGAGATTTTAGCTGGGGGCTGTATGTGATGGCCACTGGTGTTCTTATTTTCCTTGTTGGGCCTGTCCTGTAGTAGGTACCCTTCTGGGTACCCATCTCACTCCGTCAACCTGTTTCCTCAGTTCCCCAGGTGGATATTGTAGTTTTAAGAATGCTTGATAAAGAAAGGTGAGATTCTTATCTGATTACTGCTGTCTGTAACACAGATTACTGGGCTCGCTAGGATACCAAGACAACTATCCATCAAGAAGCTCTTGCCCTAAATGTGTCATGTATTTCAGCTTTTTTGTGTGTGCAACCTCCCACCTGTGTCTGTCCTACTTTTTCATCTAGATCGTTGTATATCTTATTCATTTTTAGCTCTTGGCAATGACCAGTGTGCCATGAACTCCCTGAAATTGTCTATTAGTTGAGCAGCCCACCAAATCCACTTGTAGTCAATACAAATAAAGTATTTAAGAGCTCTGTTTTTAACTTGAAGTATTACTGCTGCTGTTTCTCAGAAAGTTACATACAGAGACATCAAAGCATTTTAGTTTTTCTATAACCTCAACAACCTTCTCAAAATATTATGTGTATTGTGCAGAATGGAAATATAGGTGGAGGAATATATTACTTTTGGCCTACATTCAAGCTAAGAAGTGCATCAGGATAAACACAATGATTAGCATTTTGCTTCCGCATTGCTGCTTGCAAGCAGCTCTCCAAATCTGTTTACTACTAAAGCATTCATTAAATTATGCACATTTTGAAACTTATTCCTCAAATAATACCCAGCATATAACATGAGTTCATTAATCTGGCTCAAGAAAGATTATTGCATGTCTTTGTGGTTATTCCTTTATAATTAAATGAGAACAGGGAAAATACTGAAATAATCAGAAATGTGATGCCATTTGGATCATTAAAGTGAGAATTAAAACAACATGCCATGTGTGTAATTTAAGGAATATTTTGAAGATGTATGATAAGGCTGTATTCCTCCCTACCATCTTATTTTATACCTTTCAGCTGGTTTCTTTTCCTGTTACATGTCAGCCCTCTTCTCCCTTGCCATGTAATTTGTATTCATTTATACTAATTTACCAACATGTAATTTATATCACCTGTGAACTGGGGCCAATTTGATTACTCAAGTTGTTTGCAGGATTGCTTCTTATGCGTTACATTCTGTTTCTTAGAGATAATCTCAACAAATCTGGTTCACAAAGGATATTTTTCAACATGGGTTTATGTAAAGTCATAGAATTGGTATAGAACTTTAAGAAAAGTTTTGTAGTATGAAACTTACTACTTTTGCCTGGCTTGCACAATGGCCAGTATTTCATTTTTCACTGAGTTTTGTTCAGTTTCCTTCCTTTATCTGTGCACAGGTGCTTTCAGCAGCACAACTGTTGATGGGTGACAACAACATCTGTGCATCACAGTGGGGAAACGGGCAGAGGAGCACTGAAAGGTTAAATCAGGGATCGGCAACCTTTGGTAACAAGTATTAGAGGGGTAGCCGTGTTAGTCTGAATCTGTAAAAAGCAACAGAGGGTCCTGTGGCACCTTTGAGACTAACAGAAGTACTGGGAGCATAAGCTTTTGTGGGTAAGAACCTCACTTCTTCAGAAGAAGTGAGGTTCTTACCC